GGTGATTTTTCATAAAGGTTAAAAAGAAATAAGGTAGGCAGAAAAAGACACACCTTTACTTATTAATATGAGTTAGTTCGGTTCAAATACAAATGTTAAGAGCTCCCTGTGTCAGTTATTGATTCACAATTTCATTATCTGGGTGGGTTTGGTGACATTAGAGGTCTTGGGCAAATTAGTGTCACAGTACATTAGCAGCAGAACACAAAGAGTTATTTGTGGCCTTCCTCTGTGTAATTCTTTAACATTATAATTGGATAGCAAAAGAAACGGAAGGGATTTTTGCTGGGAGTTTATAATCACCCTCCTTTTTCGATTAGTAGAATTCGAGAGAAGCAGTTCGAGCTTCTGCAAAGGCTAGTTCTTCACATCAGTCTGATCCAATTCATGTCTCTCTCTCTCTCTCTCTCTCTCTCTCTCTGTGTGTGTGTGTGTGTGTGTGTGTGTGTGCTGATATACACCACTGATTTTGCTTTCTGTGAGGATGTCCTCACGAAATATGTCGTGACATGTAACTCATTATGTCTCTGATGGCCTGAAATATCAGTTTTCTTTTGGAAAAACGCAAGGCTCTGGTGTTGCTTTTTAAATAAGAAATTCAAGCTGTCATGCTTTCAGTATCATCCTAAGGAATTTGAATGGATTTAGAAAGGTATAACTCTGTTTAGGATTGCACAGCATGTCCTGAAATGGATCCAAACACGACTAGTAGTTTTTATTGTTGTTAACAACAGCCGCTTCTTTCAAAAATAACACTGGAGGGTCCTTTCCTACATTTCTGTTATCCCTCTACCAGCAGGGCAGCCAGATAATCTGGATGGGATTTTTAAACTGACTTTCAAATGCCAGTGGCAGTGTAGGGTTGCCAGCCTCCAGGGGGGGCCTGGGGACCCCCTGGAATTACAGCTCATCTCCAGAGTACAGAGATCAGTTCCCCTGGAGAAAAGAGATGGGTTGGAGGGTGGACTCTGGGGCATTGTACCCCACTAGGGTGCTCCCCAGGCTCCATCCCCAAATCTCCAGGAGTTTCCCAACCTGGATCGGCAACCTGGCCCCCCCATCCCCTGTCGGTGGCCGGGAGGGACCTGGCTACCCTAACAGGCAGTTAGGTAACAACCATAGTAAAGGAGAAGTATACAGGAGGATGGTTTACAATTGCCAAGGAGACAGCTGTATATGGGCCAGATCCAGCCCAATGGCCTCCAATTGCCAGCCACTACTAATGTGTTTCTCTTTGTTCCACACAGCCCGTTTTACGGAGAAGACTTTTACTGTGAAATTCCACGGAGTTTTCGTCACCTGTCATTTTACATTTTTGACAGAGATGTTTTCCGCAGGGATTCAATCATTGGTATGTGTTTTATGCAAGTACAATTCAAATACTGCCCTAGACTTGTTGATGTTTTCCTTATTAGGACAACAATATAGCTGTTAGCATTCTGACATCTCCTTACAGGAAATGTTGTGTTTCACTAGGAAATAACTTCCTCCCTGCTTTCTTTTAACTGTATGATGACTATTTCTGCACGCTGCTTGAACTTTAAGGAAGCATTTTGTGAGTTTAAGGAAAATTCTCTGTTAACTAAAGTAATAAAGGAGAAAATTACCCTTAAATGTGGATGGGTGATGTGGAGGGGGATACAAGCCCCCCTCACTTTTTTTGAAAGATCTTACCTGAACATGCCATTAACAGCATAGCTTTAATTTATCTGTGAAGAAGCATAAAGGGATTAATCAGACCTTGGTTATTGCTGGATGCTTTAAATATAAAGTCATGTTTTCATGCGCTTAAACTTTCTAAACAGGCTAGAATGCCTTACTATTCTTGTAGCTTTAATAAACAAGGAAACCAGCTTGACTATCTTTGTGTTTTTAAATGCATGGGTGTTTTTTTTTGGGGGGGGGGTATCCAGTCTGTTTGTGCAGTTTTTCAGTCCTGTAATGACAAATGTACAAGGTACTGATTTTGGGGGTCAAGAATCACATATTGCCACACAGTTGCAAAATGAAAACAAAAAGAAAAGAGGCGTGTAAGGCTCCTGGAACATGATGAAGGAGGGGGGAAAATGCATTCCATCAAATTATTACCATGAGCGAGAGAACATGAGCTGGCATAGAATGGTGGTTTCATGCAGAGCTGGTTGCTGGAAAGTCCCCGGTTCAAATCTCATCTCAGCGGTGATTACAGCGGGTGGTCGTAAACAAGCCAGATTGCTCTAGCCCCCATAAGGAAGTGGCGCACTCTTTAGGGTTGTCTGCCAGGATTACTGAGAATAACATGCAAGAAGATGTGCGAGTGTTTTATTGACGCATAGCATGAAATAAATTGGTGTAGTCTAGTGGCTCAAAATAAGCTTTGTAATCTGACTTCTTTTGATACCCGAAAGTTCTGGCAGTGTGTGATGTTCTAAAAGGAGTTTATCTTAGACAGTCAAGGATTTATTTATTTATTTATTTATTTAAATTATATCCTGCCCTCCCTGCCAAGGCAGGATGATCACTTTGTGTTTCTATACATGCATTTAATGAAATACAAGGTAATGACTTTGCAATGCAAGATACCTAGAATGATATCAAATGACCCTGCGTGACAGCATTGCAACAGGGGGATGTTTTATAAATTATCTTAAATTTATACACCATCTGTTTATGAAAGCCTTTCTTTTCTTTTATGAGCAGCTTCCTTAAATGGAGTGATATACTTATTTGCAAAACCAACAAAGAAAATACATCTATAGAAAGCTGTAGAATATGAAATGTTACAGCATTAGGTTGTCCACTATGCCATCTGTTTCCCCTCTGATTTCATTTTTTTCCCTTCATATCTATGCAAATTATGCCACGAATGAGTAATATGGAGCCTGAAGTCAACAAAATAAGCCCAAACACGTGATAATGTTTCCTGTGTGTAAAATATCTCAACAGACATAACAAACCCAAACAAGAAACATGCTTGGAAATAGATAACATTATTAAAGCATCAGACTGTGCCCTTTTTTAACTCTGGCAGAGGGATGGATGTAAGGGGGGGGACCAGATCTGTTGTGTTGTGTGGCATTATGTGTTAATTTTTGTGCTATAATGAACCTAGTTTTGGATGAGAGAGTAAGGCAATGGCAGACCACCTTTAAAAGTCTCTTGCTATGAAAACCCGACCAGGCTTGCCATAAGCTGCGTGTGATTTGATGGCACATTCCACCACCACCAAGCACATTTATATGATGGCTTGCTTTTATTGGCTGTTTTTATGGGAATGTTTTATTGAGTTTATTTCTTTGTTTTTATTGTGTTTTGTTTTTATTTGTTACTGATATGATTTGTGTTTTAGACATTTTTACGGCTTTAGCTGTGAGCTGCCCCCAAGCAGGCCTGGAGAGACAGCAGGCAAAGTTTCTAAATAAATAAAAATAAACAGTCCTTGTGGAGTCATTGAATGAGATGACCTCCCCTTCTTCCCTTTTCTCCATCCATGTTGCATTGTGACTTGAATAATGAAGTCAGGATGCAGTAGAGGATTTTATACTGGGTTTTCTTTAGCAGAAGCCCCCTCTGTGTAGTGTCTTGGATGGTCACCACCAGTTAGAAGAGGTGGTACTAATCTAAGTGGGTCAGTGTGGTGATCTGCCTCAGTAAAAGAGAGTTTCATACTTTCAGTGCTAAGGTATACCCCCTGGTATACCCCCCAAGAGCATTGCGCTCGACAGATAAGAACTTACTGGTGGTCCTTGGCCCGAGAGATATCCGGCTGTCCTCAACCAGGGCCAGGGCAACCTGGTTGAACTCTCTGCCAAATAACATCCATGCCCTGCAGGACTTAATGTAGTTCTGCAGGGCTTGTTAGGTGGAGATGTTCCACCAGGCGTTTGGTTGAGGACAATGACAGTTTCCCTCTGTCTGGCACTCCTGTCTCCCTCTCTACCCTTGTAAGATAGTGGCACATTCTAGTGGTTTCAGCATCATCTTATTATTTTATTGGTTTTAATTGTGAATCTAATATATGTATGTTCCCTATTGATGTACACTGCTCTGAGCTCTGTTGTGCAGGGGACAACAATTTAAACATGTAATTTAATAAATAATAAGGTGTAACTGGCAAGTTGTTTTGTCCCACCTTCCAGCACTCATACAGATTAATATTACAGCTAATGAGTGAGGGTTGGTAAAAAAAACCCCATAATTAAAAAGAGAAGTGTGTGACTCGTTCTGTTTGTGTGAAAGTAGGATAAAAACCTCTACAAATATGAATATATATAATATATATAATGAACTCTATATAAAACTTATTTCTGACTGTAGTTTGAATGCCTGTTAAGACTTTCAAGAGAAATTTGGTATATAATTTAGCTGTCTGAGAACTCCAGGTCAAATGAGGGAATGGCTGAAGTAAAGAATCTTCAGAAGGCCAGTAATAGGCAGTTCAGCATCTGTGACCTTCAGTTAAAAACAGGAAGCATGCGGCATCATCTGATCATTAAGCAGTCTTCTAAAAGAATAAAAGAATGCTTATACTGGGTGTCCTTCATGTGATAGATTTGTAACTATTTCTGGCCTAACTTTCTAAGATGCCTGAGATCCATAACCCAGATTGGTCAGTTTAGGTATGTTGCATTTAGAAGGAAGAATCCAGGGAGAGGCAACTTTTTTGGGGGGGGGTCAATACAATGTCTACTTGTGAAGCTGATAAAACCAAGAGTAAGGAAAGGTTGTACTTGGTTAAAACACTGGGAGCAAGCCAGGCACTAGCAGTGCTGTCAGCATCTCATGGATTTGCCTTGCACTCAACTATTCATTGTGTAGGACTGGGAGAAGATGATGGGCATAAGCTGTGCCCGGTGTCCCCGCTTGCACTACTGGCCCCAACAAGTGCTGCCAGTGCCCCAGTTGCTTGGGCATAGATCTGACCTGGGGTGCCAAATGAATGGCCTACTATGTGGCCATTGGCGTATGTGCCAGAGGTTACCTACCCAGTCTGATCAAACACTGTGAAAGTAAGTATTGAATGTGTCCTTTGTGTCCTGGCATCTAAATGGAGCTGAATTGATTGTCGCCCTTGGAAAATTTCATAGAAATCCTAGAAACACTGAGGAAAACGGTTCCTGAGCAAAATATTCTGCTTCTGAAGGTGTCGGAGCAGGCCATGTCCAACCTAGGTAGCTTCATTGCTCCTGTACCAAACCAAGCAATCTGTAGCAAAATCCTACTTTATTGATTTTTTTAAAATGTGGATTCCTTGGACTGGGATTGTGTTTACCTGCCTGTCGAAAAAAATCCGTGCCTTCCTTGACTTAACAGTTTATACTAGAGATGTAAAAAAAAAACCCTTACACTCGAAAAGCACTCGCCTTGATTTCTGCTCCATTGACACACTAGTTAATTCACATCAGAAACAGGAGGGGGAAAGTCCAGACGAGGGGAAATATGGTACACAAGTTTCTTCTCAAAGAGGCCCGTTATTCAGCTTCGTTGTAAGGTGAAAAGGGCATCACAGATACACTACTACAGGCAGCTTTCTTATCACATGAATGCAGTATCTGCCTATATAGATACAAAGTCATAAGCTTTTCGCTTGATAAGATTGCTTCTGTTGACTAGGAAAACTCTACAGAGTCAAGAGCTCATTGCTTTGTAGCTGAGAAGCAGTGGCTCATACTCTTTGTAACGATGTTAGCTGCCCCAAACAAAAACATGTAGCAAGTGAGGCGATCCCTTCTATTAGAACAATTAATTTTCAAGATGCTTGCTTTTTAATTATGTGCAACTCTTCTTACAACATAATTAAGCTTTGTTTTAGCATTCTAAACTGCATCTCTTGTCTCTTCCATCATTTCCTCCTTCTCCTATTAAACCATGGGCTCATTTACATAGGAGAATGGCAAATGGACATTAAGCATTAGTAGACTTGACTGTAGAATACTAAACTGGAATTAAAACAGATCCTTGAAATAATTTTAATTTTATTATTAATGCCATTCCCTATCAAAACTCAGTAGCATTCCCTGGAAGTCATGACAGCAGCATAAATGCTACAAGTGAGCATGTGTAAAGAATCTTAAATGCTGAGGTATGAAGTGCACGGAAATCTGCAATATAATGGAATAATATATTGCATAAAGCAGCTGGCCAGAACTTTCTCTGTAAACTCTGCTCTCCTGCCTGTGGAAGACTGATGGTCTTTAGACAAACACACATACACAGACCTGCTTCTGTATTATGGTATTGTCATGTCTTAGACTTTTTTGTATTTTAGTTTTTGCTATTGAGTCCTACTGCATCATTCATTGGGGAGCCCTGCTGTCCGATCAAATTGTTTTTTGCAATTTTGTAATCTACCTTGAGTCCCAGCAAGAAAGGTGGGTTGTAAATTAAATAAATAAAAATGTCTCTTCTCCTCTGAAATGTGTGCATACAAATACTTGTATTTTTCCAGTTTGATTTTTTTGATGTATTTCCAGGGAAAGTAGCAATATGGAAGGAAGATCTGCAGAAGTACCACAACAGAGACACCTGGTTTCAACTGCAACACGTTGATGCAGATTCAGAAGTACAGGTGAGTCTACTTTTCATCATCTTTCCCTTGCTAACTCTTGGACTGAGAATTTAAAGTATTACAGTGTGGAATAGCTGTGTGGTCCCATTGTTTTCCTAGTTGAAAATATTACAATGGAGGTAGAGGTGATCCTTCACAACATATGGAGAATGTTTTAAGCAGTTTCAGTATAATAGCTGTGGTGCATACTAAAGGTATGGATTTGGCTAAACTGAGCCAAAAAATGCCCCCAAAATACCATATTGGTATTTTCTGGATATTTTTTTCAGCTGGTCAGTGAGTGGGCTGCAAATTTGGTGCCTCTGCCTAAAAAAAACCAGAGGCCCCCCCCCAGAGCCCCAGATACCCCTGGATCGATTCTCCATTATAACCTAGGGGTACTATTGACTATGATGGTCCCCGTAGGATATAATGGATCTAGAAAAAAAATGGCAATCCTGAATATTTCCTGAATCCCAATACCATACTGATATTGGGATTCAGGAATATTGGGAATACTGATGTTTTTCGGGTTCAATATACCCGAACCTGAAAAATAAAAAATACCGATTATTTGTGCACACCCATAATGCATACTGATCCCATCAAGTTCATTTTGTAAAGTTTAATTGTATTGCAAGTATGTTTTAATCCAACACTGGTATCTGCATAAACCACCATATTTCCTTGCTGATAGAAACATCCTTGCCTTTGTTAAATATTTGCTGTTGCAAGCAAAGAATCATCAACTGTGAGGCAGGATAATATTGGTTTATGTGTAAATGTGGAATGATGTGTCTTCTTGTAAGGGCAATAAGCATATTTGCATTTAAATGTTTATGTAGTTTTATTCTTCCAAAACATTGCTAAGAATAAGTTTTACATCCTTGATAAGAGGGATTTACCAGATCACAAAATCTGTTTTCTCTGGGTATGGACAGAGGACCATTCTAAAAGTAGCACAGCCTTTGGGACTTCCAGTTAGTTTGGAGATCATAGGGGGACCAGCTGATCCAGATTCTCTGGAGGACTTGCAGCATCAGCCAACTGCTAAGAGTCTGTTTTGTATTCTCTAGTGAAGAAATGAGCATTCATCCAGGAAGCAGTGCTATACAGTTCGTTTGTAGAACAATGTCCCAAAGGTTGCTAAAGTGGTACTTCTGACTGAATGGTGGATTATTTTAGGCACTTCCTTGCCATGTGATTGATAGGGCAGATTAATACAGCTCTAACTCCACCTATCAAGATGGCCTTCGAAGCCTTGAAACTCCCAACACAGGGATCCTGGTTTGCAGGAAACAAACAGTGCCATCCTAAGAAGAATTGTACCCATCTAAATCTATTGAAGTCAGTGGGCTGATGGTATAACTCTTTTTAGGACTGCACTAAAAGAGGATTACTTTGGTTCTTTTGATGCATTGTCACACATCCAGATTTTCTCCCTTCCTTTTTTAAAAAACCTGATGAAGTGTTCTGGAGAACCCAAAAGCTTACAGATATTTGAGTCATTTTGGGTGGTCTTAATAAAATGTATTGTATGGATTTTGTTTTTTATTCTTGCATGAATATGTTTGGTAAGAATCCATGTGTCTTTACAGAATGTAGTGACATTACGAGTACCAGATTGATTTCTGATTCTATTTGTAACATAGATAAATGAAATGCCCTATATAAATATCTCTCCGTCTCAAATGCTTGCAGTTCCGCGTGTAACTATGTATAGTAAAAGCTTTGTTACCCGGCACCATTATCCAAACCACTCAGATAACCAACATTGCCTAGGGGGCTGAGCTCTACCCTCTCAGGTACTATACCCCTGCTTCTATCCCACTTCCATTTCTCCAGCTGGCCAGCTCGGTGCCTCTGATTGTTACTGGGCATCTGACAGTGGACAGTGTCCGCTAATGTCATCTTTGAGTATAATGGATAGACAAAGATCCTTTCTCTGTCAGTCACCAGTCTCCTGTATGCCTGTTTTGGTGTGTGTACAGATCAGCTAGCAGCCAATCAGGACCCAGGTGGGAAGGGGGCATGGAGAAGAAGCTCTCAGTTTTGAATCTGATAGGGTTTGTACTCCAGGGTGTGAGACTGGAACAATCCCCTCTTAGGAGACTTTGTACGTCTCATAAACTGGCTTTTAGGGAAAGGAGGCTAATATATTGAATGTTTCAAGAGATAGGGTTTGTATCCCCAGGGAGTGAGATTGGAAGGGATCCCGTCTCAGGAGACTTCATAGCTCTCAGAGCCTGGCTTTTGAAGAGAGCAGGCTAGCATAGTAAATGCTTTTGGGAGTTATTGTAGTTGTCTCAGAGCTTAATTTCAGGGGAGAGCTAGCTAAAGAACTGGAATTTTTAGGAGGAGCTCACACTTATTCTCTGAGATTCATATGGTTGGGTGGGAGGCCAAAGATTTATTTCAAGAACAAACGCTTGGCTTATAAGTGTTCTTTGCATCCAGAAACTGACACTTGAAATATTAGAACTGAATGAGCATAGCAAATTTGTCTTATGCTTGTATATAGTTTCAGGCCTCTTTACTGGACAACCTTATTTGATCCAAGGAAGTTAATAACAGATCCAAGGAAGTAAATAAAAGTTAGCTCATGCCTCATCTGAAATAGCTGCATTTAGAAGCCACTTGGGTTCAGGTGGAGGCTGGGGTAGAGATAACACTGGTCTGATTTCCCATCATACTTCTTCTGTTCAAATGTCATTTAAAACCTGACCTTCCCATTGACTTCTCCTCAGGCTGTGAGGAGCTAGCTGTACTGGAGGTTTCCTGGGCAGCTGGCCCTCTTGTCTACCTACTGCATAGAATGGTTCTGTCCCATCAGGTATGGGGGCATCACTGTTGACTGTGGAGATGGCTTTGGTTGTAGTGGACTTCTCTGCATAGGGCACAGGGCAGCGCAACAAGCTTGAGTGACCAGCTCATTCGATTAACCAGCAATCCCCATTCCCTATAATTGCAAATAACACAGCTTTTTATTTAACTGTCATTTTAAAATCTTATTTAGATTTTAGATCAGCTAAAACGCTAGAAACACTAAAACAATTGACCTCTGCTTAACATTGCTTTCTTTCTGCCCTGATCTCTTCTTTCCATTTCCCTTTCTCTTGGACCCACACTGTTGAAGGCTCCTCTGGAGTTATTGCTTATTTTGCCCAATAATGAGCCAGGTGTATTTGATAACCCTGTATGCTGACAAACTGTGGATTAGCCATCCAGATTATTTGCTCTAGAGGCTGTTCAAGTGTTTTACGGGATAATTAATGTGCATCAAGATACCAGGTATCAGCTTTCGATAACTTTAACGGCAGCCGTTTAGACAGTGTTAGGGTTTGCTTCCTGTGGGAAATGAAGATTTCCCTTTTATTATGTGAAGTGAGCCAATATTTATATGGCCCTAGCGTATTGTTGATATTAGTTGTACAGTTAATGCACATTGAGAATATGGGAGCTGTTTGTCGACTTTCTAGGAAGATGCTGGTTATTTATATCTCAAGTTAATATATCTTGTAGCAAATGCTCGTGTAACTTTCCAGTTAATTAGGATATGGGGGGTCAATGTTAAGTATAAATGCCGTGCTATATTTGCAATGGTTACTGCAGTTTATCATTTCCTCTCTTTTTGCTTTGTAAAAGCCAACATCTTAAAGCTGCATTTGGAGCTCTGCAATAAATGTTTTCTGGAAGGAGAAAATGTACAACATGGCGGACTGTGTTTTTCCGTTACATGTAAAGTTTGCTAAAATATTTCCTTAATAGAGTTGTGGGCTTTTTAGTACTGACCTGGGTTCTTTTTGTAGAAAAAGCCCAGCAGGAACTCATTAGCATAATAGGCCACACCTTACAGCAGGAACTTATTAGCATATTGGGCCACACCCCTGACAGTACAGCTAATTAGCACATTAGGCCACACCCCCATGTTACCAGAAGTGTGGTTATCCAGCCACACCCACCTTTTGCTTGTTGTTCTGTTTACCTTGTTTGTTGTCAAAACCCAGGGCCTTTTTTTGGAGCAGAAACTCCTTTGCATGTTAGGCCACACACCCCTAATGTAGCCAATCCTAATGAGTTTCTGTTGTTGGGTGTGGCCTATTATGCTAATGAGTTCCTGCTGGGCGTGGCCAACTTGGGAGCCAGCCAGAACTCCGTTCCTGTGTGTTCCTGCCCAAAAATAGCCCTGGTACTGACTAGGGGAGGATTACTGCCTGAAAGGCGGGCAGCCTGTGAGTTCCGGGGGGGGGGGGCAGTAGCACATTGAACCCACCCTTTCTTCCTGAGAGATGAGGTTCATTGGTTGTGGGTACACGTTTTAGCCAATTTTATTACAGACTCAGTCCACTCTCCTATTACTCCTCTCCTCTATCTTCCTGTTCTTTCCCATGTGCCTCTTCTCAGCTCAGCTCCGGTTCCTTCTCTGTTTCTGCCACCTCTGACCCCCTCTCTCTGTCTTTCTTGGCACCCATCTTCCTTCTCTTCCTCTTGCCTCCTCCACTGCCCTCTTTGTTCTCATTTTATATCTTTTTCATTCTCTGTGCCTCACTCGAGCTCCTCCCAGTCTCCTTTCTTTTGGCCAGTTAGAGCCTTCCTAGCCCCACACAGTCATCCCACCCGACAAGCCGTGGCCACTCCTGAGCTTCTTGGCATTGTCTCAAGGCCTACCACTGCTCCAGCATGGCCAGAGCCATCAGCCACAAACCTACCCCCACCAGCTGATGGGCAGACACAGTTGGCTGATGCTGTTTCCTATCGCTCCTCCACTGTCAGACTGCTGCAACTTGATGGGGCCCAGCCTTGGAACCAGGTGAGTCTTCACAGCTGCAACATAAGAAAACACTTGTGCAGTTTCCCTGTTGCTGCTGATACAGACAGCACAGTGCCAGTGGGGCTTCCACATGGCATGTATTCTTGTGATTTTAAATTTGTTTTCCCTGACCCAGTCTCTAGGAGCAGTAACTCCCCATGCCACTTGGGGCCCTTTTTCAACTTTCTTTTAAAAATCAGCAATTAAATGT